GAGCATGGCAATTTTTAACAAATTAACAAAGAAACCATACCCGCACTTAACAAATAACATTTTGCACATCTAAAAACAAAAAATAACCAAATAGACTTTAGGTTACTGAAAATAACAATAATAACAAGAAAGCAACAATTGCTATCCTCCATTTTCCTGATTATTTTCATCGCTAGCGGTAGACCAGTTCTTGCGAACATCCCGGACAATTCCATGGCCGAGGACTGCAAAATCTTCCAGAACTGCTTCTACGTTCACTGTGAGCAAATTGTCCGCTCCTTTTGTACGATGCAAGCAACCCGAAATCTGGAAAAATAATATCTTAAACACTCAAGAAAGACGCAATTAAGAAGAATTCATGTAAACTTTATAGCACGTTTAAATTTTAATCGATTTCAAATTAATTAGAATTTTAACACAATTCAGTTCCTCCTTCATCTAATTTAAGGAGCTATCAGTTATATCAAAAGCGAGAAGAAACGCGACAATGAAACAACTTTTGCCCAAAGTAACAAAGCAAAGTATATTTCGATGCAGCAATAGAAAGGTGTATCAGCAAGGGATGAAATAAGAATCAAAAAGGAAGATAGGAAATGAAAATCAGACAAATTAGTAAAATTATTATAAAAAGACGTTTGAAAATCCAGAATAGCAATAAAACATCGCGGAATGAAATTAAAATACCTTAGAATCACGTGGTGTGAATGCTGCTGGTTTCCAAACAACACCAATCATATCACCGGCATATTTATTGTAGAAAAATAATGCAATTGATGAAAAATTGCACCGCAAAATCTTTACATATTCTGTTACAGGATCATAATCCAGTACTGGAAGTGGTCCTTCCACAACTTTTCTGTTCACCACTTTCCGTTTAACCATATGTCGACCACGGATACGAATTATTACATCATGCAATCCTGATACACTTGTTGCAAATAATCCCTAGAAAAATAGCGCTATAAAAAAAAGAAAGCAAAAAACCAAAAAACTATATCGACGAGTAAAAATCCCCCTCTCTTTTAATCTCTCGCCCCTTCCCCTCTTTTTTAAAAGCAAAATTTCAAGACTTCATTCGTCTTGGAGGTACAAAAAGGGCATGAGTTACGGCACATTTTTTGTGAGCCTAGATAAAAAGTGTTCTGGAAAAATACAAAAAAAAAGCTCGTAACCGAACTTATCGCAGAAACGCATGATCCCACTAGCTCCCCCGTAATTCCAAAATATAAGGATAAATCGCTAAGATCGGCCCGATATTTGGAAGTATTCCAGTAACGCCACTAACTTGGGGTACCCAAACTAACAGCTCAGACGAACTCTTTTTGGCGTTCTAGATAAAAAAAATGGAGGAAAAAAAGCAAATTTGCAATCAAACCTTTAAATTTAATGGCACACTACCAATTATGTGTTCATCAATTACTGCTGCTGTGTCCTTGGCAAGTGATATAATTCGTTTTAAAATTAATGGTTGAGGTTCTTCCCTTGTCCATCTGGAAGTGTATCATAAAAATTCAAATTGTAAAAAATGCTGCCAAATCAGCTTTTCAGGACATCTTCCATATCGTTTA